CACTATTACCGTTGAAGAAACGTCCACGTGAGAACTTGGACAGCTTAGACACGGCCCCGCTGGCTGAGCCGTGGTTCTCATGGCCTGAGTCATCAGCGACCTCGTTTCCAGTTTGTTCATCCATACGCCAATGCCCAACCAAACCAGCGACCCGGTTGCTATAGCAACCGTTAATAGGGTTACATTCGGGAAAGTACGGCTTCCACTGTCTTTTGGAGCAGACCTCTAGGAGAGTGTGATTGCTATCGGAAGAAGAACGAATCATTCCTGTTCTCATAGTGGTGCAAGGTTCCTCTTCGTAGGTCAGAACATCAAGGTTCTGAAAAACAAAAATGTTAAAGAAATAGATTTCTTACTATTGTACAGTGAATTTAAGGTATTAGATACTTAACAATTATTCTTTAAAATCGAGGTGAATAGTGGCTGCCTATTTACCGAGCCGCTTTCGCGGCTCGGTAAATATTCCTAAAGCCACTATTCACCGAGATTGAAAAGGATAATTGTTTTAGTATTTTTAGCGTCTCTCCCCAGTGTCGCTCTTTGTTTTCAGCCTCGTTCCAGACCTTTCGTTTGACTGCTCGCGCGTTCTCGAATACGCAAAAATAAGGACTGTCTTGCATTCTACACTGTGTCACTTTCTTGATGCAGCCTTAGAAAACTTGTCGCATGTTACGGATCACTAATGCATTGTTCCTCTTTATTGCAAAGGCAAATTATTTATTTCACAACGTTTCGAAATGATAAGCACGAAGTCGACAACACACAGAAAATATATCTTATAAATGTAGCCTTAGAAAACTTGCCGCATGTTACGGATGACTAATGCATTGTTTCTCTTTATTGAAAAGACAAATTCTCAACAAGGGAAACAAAACTACCTTAACTCTTTTTGAAACACAGAGCTCTTTCATGCATGAATTGAAACTTATCAACAAATTCTAATTGTTTTTCTTTCGAATTGAATAAATCAAGTTCATTTTTACTATTGACCCTTACCATGCACTTAGGAGAACCTTTCAATTGTGTTGGTAAAACAGCTCGAGCAACAATGAACAGGACTGACAAGACTCCTCTCATTATGACCATCAAGTAGTTGGTCTGTTTGCGATACAAAAACCTGACACACCGGGGACGAAGCTCTTAAATTGAGGAAACCTACGCGTTGGTGCCTTCGGTCTCTTGAATATTTCTGTATTATTTCTTTTCCCGCTCACGAAAAAAAATTAATCGTCAGGCCTTCGTAGGCTAGTGCGCTCCGGCTGCTTTACGCTCTCTCCACTAGGCCTGTCCCAATTGTGCTCGATCGGCACCTTTTGAGCAACAGTTTTGCGGTTCTAGCAACCTTAAGCAACTTTTGCCTTCCTGAGAATTTTTTTTAGCAAAATATAGGTTTAGAGAACATTGCAAGCCCGAAAAAAATGACGTTTTCATATAAAACTTCAATTTATGGGAATTTTCTTGAATGTTTACCCACCTGTTTGAACATCAAACTTTTTATTTCACAACGTGTCGAAATGATAGGCGCGAAGTCGACAACACACAGAAAATATATCTTATTGATGCAGCCTTAGCAATTGTCGCATGTTACGGATCACTAATGCATTTTTCCTCTTTATTGAAAAGGCAAATTCACAACAAGGGAAATAAACTACCTTAACTCTTATTTGAAACACAGAGCTCTTTCATGCATGAATTAAAACTTATCAACAAATTCGAATTTTTTTCTTTTGAATTTGTTGCTTAATTAATAAATAAATCAAGTTCATTTTTATTACTGACCCTTACCACGCACTTAGAAGAACCTTTCAATTGTGTGGGTTAAACAGCAAGAGCAACAATGAACAGGACTGACAAGACTCCTCTCATTATGACCATCAAGTAGTTTGTCTGTTTGCGATATAAAAACCTGGCGCACCGGGGACGAAGCTCTTAAATTGAGGAAACCTATGCGTTGGTGCCTTCGGTCTCTTGAATATTTCTGTATTATTTCTTTTCCCGCTCACGAAAAGAAATTAATCGTCAGTCCTTCGCAGGCTAGTGCGCTGTGGCTCCTTTACGCTCTCTCTACTAGCCCTGTCCCGATTGTGCTCGATCGGCTCCTTTTGAGCAACAGTTTTGCGGTTCTAGCAACCTTAAGCAACTTTTGCCTTTCTGAGAAATTTTTTGAGTAAAATATAGGTTTAGAGAACATTGCAAGCCCGAAAAAAATGACGTTTTCATAGAAAACTTCAATTTATGGGAATTTTCTTGAATGTTTACCCACCTGTTTGAACATCGAACTTTTTATTTCACAACGTTTCGAAATGATAACAGAAAATATATCAATTGATGTAGCTTTAGAAAACTTGTCGCATGTAACGGATCACTAATGCTTTGTTCCTCTTTATTGAAAAGGCAAATTCACAACAAGGGAAACAAAACTACCGTAACTCTTATTTGAAACACAGAGCTTATCAACAAATTCGAATTTTTTTCTTTCGAATTTGTTGCTTAATTAATGAATAAATCAAGTTCATTTTTACTACTGACCCTTACCACGCACTTAGGAGAACCTTTCAATTGTGTGGGTAAAACAGCTAGAGCAACAATGAACAGGACTGAAAAGACTCCTCTCATCATGAGCATCAAGTAGTTGGTCTGGTCGCGATATAAAAACCTGACGCACCCGGGGCGAAGCAGCTAATCACTTTTACTGAAAAAGGAAGTGATTCCGTTTGGTGAAGTTGTTGAACTCTTGTTCCTTGGGGTCTTGAGACCTGAGAAAAACTTTTGTGATTTTAAACGATTAGGATCAAGTAAAATATCTCTTCCGTGGGTGCTTCTAACAAACACATAAGAGCATAAAGTAAACGCCCAATTTTTACGTGCGAAGGTTTGACGGTCGCTGAGCATGTTGGGATGTGTTGTTTATTCCGTCAAGTCCGTCGAGCTGTCCACATTGGTAGGAACTCCAGTCTTCCACGAAATTTTCAGTCAAAGGAAAGCTTGATTTGAATCCGACCAATGAAGTATTTTGAAAACTATCGCCCAAAGTTACCGCGAGGAGAAGGAGGACTACAAGCACCCTCTCCGTAATTTAGGCGGATCGCTTAAGTGGAAGCGTCACAAAAATAATCACGGCTTTCACCTAACGAGGAACAGATTTATAGTCTGCAGAGTGAAACTTGCCTTTCAAAACGCTTTAATCTTCAAATCCATCGAGAGAACAACGAGTGATTTCTTATATTCCTCGATGGGGAACAGTAGATCAGAGACTTATAAGAGTGCCGTGTGTAGTTGTAAGCGAGCGCGCGTGTAGCGTGTGTCCACTCATAGAGTCCATCGGGCCTTTCAAAGAAAGATGGTAATTTAACTCAAGGGCTAGTCGCCATTTTTTTGTTACTCAGCTGTTGAGTAGCTTGCGTCTGTGAGCTTTTCGGGTGCGGAGAAGCGACGACCGCAAATGCGTCTTCGTTCGCATGCTAGAGGAGGTCTAAGTGTACATATATTAACCATTTCAGTCACACGCCTCGGCTGCATAGTGCATAAGAAGAACCAAACAGTTATAATACAAGGTGTTATACGGATGGTTGCATATAAAAGATATTGACCCCCTCACTATTTTTCGTGGGGGGGAGGGCACAGCCCCCACTTTTGTAGAATAATAAATAACTTTCTTTTATTTTACCACTTTCAACACATTAGGACTTAAATAAAAACACTACTTTGGAAAGTGCAAGTAAATGTCGACTCGTCTGTTTTAGACAACAAACAACGTACGTAGTCAGTTGGTTCGGGACATTTCATTTTTTTTTTCCACACTTCCTCCCCCCCCCCCCCCCCCCCCCCCTTTGGGGCTTATCCCCCGTTTTTTTTTTTTTCCGCCCTTTTGAATAGTGCTCGTGAGGGCCACAAAATGTTTTGGTGTTTTTTTAAAAAAAAAACAAAAAGTTTTTTTTTTTTTTGTATGGGAGGGGGGGGGGGGCGAGGAAAATGAATTTGTTCTGGCTAGATACAATGAAAATTTTTATTTGCTTTTCGCTGTAGGAGGTGGATAGGGAGGAGGCGGGAGAAAGGAGGTGGTGCGCAAAGAGAAGTGGTCGGTGTGGAGTGGGGGGGGGGGGGGGGGGGGGGGGGTGGTAGTAAGGTTTATGATCTGGGTGGGCCAAGACATGAACCCTGGCTGCTGTTTGCAGTGACGGGTTAACAACCAAGTCTCGATAAGACAGCACCGAGAAGTTTTTAGAGGAATTTTTTAGGGTTTTTCAGAGAGATTTTTAGTGTTTAGGGTTTTTTAGAGAGATTCCTTCGGTGAGACACGTACTCTTACACAAAACCTTCTCTAGTTTCTTCTATGCACTTGAAAAATTTAATTGATTACAAACGTAAATATACAGTTTTAAGAAACTGAACAACGGAAAGCAAAAGAAACATATCAACTGACCAAAAAAGCCCAATAATTTTTGAGTAGATATCACTCCGCAAGTTTATTCTTTATTTTACTTTAAAGAGTATTGGTTTGACACTTTCCTGTTGCCAAAAGTACTTTACTACAGTCTACGTTTTTGTATACGATACCCTCATCTAGCAAAAACAAAAGAAAAAAAAACGCTGCTTAGTTACACGAGGTGGTTTTTGTAGATGGCAGCAACTTCGAACTTGTCAAGGGCCTTGTTGTACAGTCTATATTCGTCCAAGGTCCCCTTGGTTTTCCAGCCATAAAGTTGACCGATCTCGAGTGGTCTGCTGTTATCCACACTTCCCTGAACAGCTGAGATATCCAAGCTGTTGGACTGCTTTTTGCCGTTGACGTAAACAAAAACTTTCTTCTGTTGATCACGATCAAACACAACAGCGTAGTGGACCCATTTGCCAAGCATCTGAGGCGGTTGGTAGCCATTGTCGAATGACAGCACTCGAGAAACCATTTTGTTCCGCTTATCCCGGATGCACACGTGCAGACCCTTAGCTTGGTAACCATGTCCTGTTTCCCATCCGGGAACCCATCCAGAACGGCCTGGGCCAAAATAACAGCCAAACCCTTTCCTGACAGCAAAGGTTGTCAGCGGATATGTGTGATCCAAAATCTTCGCCCATCCGACAACAGTGAAGCTCGAATATCCAAAATTTAAGATGGCAGCGTTTCGAATGGTAACCTGTGCACTATTACCGTTGAAGAAACGTCCACGTGAGAACTTGGACAGCTTAGACACGGCGCCGCTGGCGGAGCCGTGGTTCTCATGGCCTGAGTCATCAGCGACCTCGTTTCCAGTTTGCTCATCCATACGCCAATGCCCAACCAAGCCAGCGACCCGGTTGCTATAGCAACCCTTGAGAGGGTTACATTGGGGAAAGTACGGCTTCCACTGTCTTTTGGAGCAGACCTCTAAGAGAGTGTAACCGCTATCAGAAGAAGAACGAATCATTCCTGTTCTCATAGTGGTGCAAGGTTCCTCTTCGTAGGTCAGAAGATCAAGGTTCTGAAAAACAAAAATGTTATAGAAATTTTAGTCAATTTTAAATTAGAGAAATACTTCAATTTTAAGAAGAAAATAAAGCAATTTTTAAGCCAATAATTATCAATAATAGTTTTGACAGGAAAACTAGCGCACTGCCACAGCCCAAGTCGAAATTCGAAGAGCGAAATATCTATCGAACTACCCGCGGAATTTCATAGTTTTCATATCATTCTTATTAGGTTAATTTAAGTGAGTTAAATATAAAAGACGAAAGGATGATTTTTTCTTCTCGCTGTGTCACTTGCTTGACTGTAGTAGTATCTGGAGAAATCGGTTTAGTTTTACTGTGATTTATGCTCATAGTTCTGTTAGCTTTTTATTTTTTTTGTTGCAACGAAATGATAAACGCGAAGTCGACAATACACAGAAAATATATCTTATAGACACAGCCTTAGAAAACTTGTCGCATAATACGGATCACTAATGCTTGGTTTTTTTTTAATTGAAAACGCAAATTCACAACAATGGAAACAAAACTACCGTAACTCTTATTTGAAACACAGAGCTCTTTCATGCATGAATTGAAACTTATCAACAAATTTGAATTGTTTTTCTTTCGAATTTGTTGCTTATAATAAATCAAGTTCATTTTTACTACTGACCCTTACCACGCACTTAGGAGAACCTTTCATTTGTGTGGGTAAAACAGCGAGAGCAACAGTGAACAGGACTGAAAAGACTCCTCTCATTATGAGCTTTAACAAGTTGATCTGGTCGCGATATGAGAAAAGGACGCACCGCGGGGCGAAGAAGCTAATCACTCTTATTGAAAAAGGAAGTAATTCCGTTTGGTGAAGTTGTTAAACTCTTGTTCCTTGAGGTCTTGAGACCTGAGAAAAACTTTTGTGATCTTAAACGCCGGCTTAGGATCAAGTAAAATATCTCTTCCGTGGGTGCCTCTAACAAACACATAAGCACATGAAGAGCATAAACTGAACGTGCAATTTTTACCTGCAAAGGACCGTGACGGTCGTTGAGCATTCT